CGGGGCGGGGGGCGCGCAGGTAGGTGAGCCCAGGCGGCACAGGGGTGGGGCGACCCCACGCGGTGCCCGGGCGGCCGCCCTGCCACGGCCGACGGGAGAGCTGGTTGCAGGGAAGGTGGGTTTTTTTCTCTCGGGGCTGGGAGTGAGGTTTCCGTTTAAATGCAGAGGAGAGACCAGTTGGGTGGCTTTTCGTTGTACTCCGCGACCTGCGTTCCTGGAGACCGCGGAGCTGGCTTAGCGCAGACTTCGTGCAACTTCTTCCGTAAAGGGTCCGGCGGGGCTTTCCTTTCCTGGTGGCAGCCAAGCTTCCCGCTTCGTTGCCTATTCGCGGGCTATGGAGACTCTGGGTTTCATTCCAGGGATCGGGACTTGATCTTCCACCTCCTGCCTCCTCCTCTTCTCCCATCCCTGTCCCCCACCCACCGCAGCATTTGATAACCTTCCCTTTCGCTGGAGATGAAAAGCGTGTGTTGTAGCAGGCTAGGCGGCCGGCTTCCCTGGCTTCTGGGCTTATCGTTTGGATCTAAAGCTCCTCACTAGCTCCTTGGAGCACAGCTTTTTCCAGCCTGCCGTGTTTCAAGAGGTTCTGAACAGGGGATGGGAACAACAAAAGAAGTCGCGTAGTCCTACACATTTCAAGTGCTTGAGAAAGTTTTAGAGTCAGTTCTCTCAATACCTGGAAGAAAAATACTAACATTTGTGGAGCACCTGTTGTGTGATCTGAACTTAGAAATGCTGAGCATCCGTTAAGCAAGATACGATAGGAGTTCTCTACGTCTGTATTTCAGGGTTTATCAGTGAGTTTTTTTGAATAGGCGAAATATTGCAAGAACCTTTTCTTGCCTTTCTTTTGTTAAGGTTTTTAAACTATGACTCCTGATTTTAGGAGTAATAACTTTGAAGACTAGAATAATTCATTGCTTAGCGTAGGATGTATTGCTTAGCGTAGACCGAAGAGAAATAAGATGGAGGGCGATTTAAACAAATTAAATAAATCCTGAGCAGAGAGAGAGTTTAACAGAAAGAAAGGAATGTGATTTTGGAGCCAGGCAAACCTGTATTCAAATTATGGCTCTGGTGCACCCTGACTGGGACAAACTTCTCTCAGCTGGTTCCTTCTTTAAGAAATGGGGGTAATCGTGCTGACCTCTCAGAGTTCTTTGGAGAATTAAATAATACATATAAAATGCCAGGCACAGTGCCTGACACTCGAGAAAATGGTACTTCTCTACCCGTTTTGATGAAACTGAACTTTAAAAATCTGTTTCATCTATTTTAATATAAAACACTGTAGCCAAGCATTAAATAGTGTAAATAGCTATCTCCCTTCATGCATGGTGTTCAGTGTTATAACCAAATGAAATTATTTCCTGCTTTCTGCCCCACTTAGTTAATATCCCTCATAATAATTATCTGGTCGTATTGCAACTATGTTTTCTCTTTGTTCCATGTGAGCTCCTTAAGAACTGTGATTCTTGTGTTGTTTATATCTTTGTATCCCCAACATCTGCCTTACTGTAGGAGCCCAGTGAAGGTTTGTGGAAGGACGGAGTGGAGCAGTGTTACCTCTCTGGATATTAGTTTCCTCATCTGTATGGTGAAGGGCCATTAAAGGATCCCTTCCTCCACCTCGAAAATTCTAAGATTCTGTGTGCCCTTAGAAGGCACACAGTTAAAAGTGTTAAAGTTAATTCAACTTTAAGTTTTTTAAATTCAACTGTAATTATTTATTTTTACAATTTATTGTTTTCATATTCACCGTAGGTTCTTAATAGTAAGTAACCTTTCTTTATGGTTTTCTGTGAGTGAGTCCCCAGGCAAAGAGAGTATCTAGTCAGCTACCAGCCATTATTTGACTGATAAACGGTCACAGAGCTATGGAAAGTGGCTCAGAAGACAAAGAACAGTGTATTAAAGTATAGTGAACTAGCACATTAAGATAATGCAAGCGTTTTAAACTGACCTGTGATTGGGGCAGTGATTATGGGATAGTCATTAACTAACTAGTTGTATTTCTTAGTTGTGTGACATTTTAAAGCTAATGGTTATATTTCTTAGCTGTGACATTTATTTTTTTAATTTTTAACTTTAAGTTCTGGGATACATGTGCAGAACATGCAGGTGTGTTACATAGGTAGACATGTGTCATGGTGGTTTGCTGCACCTATCAACCCATCACCTGGGTTTTAAGCCCTGCATGCATTACGTATTTGTCCTAATGCTCTGCCTCCGCTTGCCTCTAACCCCCCTACAGGCCTGGTGTGTGATGCTCCCCTCCCTGTGTCCATGTGTTCTCATTGTTCACCTCCCACTTACGAGTAAGAACATGCAATGTTTGGTTTTCTGTTCCTGTGTTAGTTTGCTGAGAATGATGGTTTCCAGCTTCATCCATGTCCCTGCAAAGGACATGAACTCATTCTTTTTTATGGCTGCATGCTGTGTGACATTTTAAATGATTGAAACTTTATTTTAATTAGTATATATAGTGGCTGCAAATAAAACAGGAAAATGATTCATAGAAAATGAGAGCTACGAAAGATTTTTTTCTTCTTACCTTTAGTCATTTTCATTAACATTTTCAGAAGCTAACAGAAATAAATATACATAGTGATGGTCAGTTTTACTTTTGTTATGTATATGTCCCTAGATAAAATTTATACACAATTTAATTTGCAATTTGCAATTACTTTGATGTCCTAGAAATAGTAAATATGCTCTATGAACTAGACTGTAAGCAGCTGGAAGATATGGAAGATACGATTTCATTTGTCCATGTATTTCCTGTGTTTATTAATGTAGCCTATGGGTTGAACTCGAAGGTTTTCAGTCAGTTTTAGAATAGCTTTCTTTTTCAACCTATAATCTACAAATTAGATCTAGCAAGTAATTTTTTATAATTAGGATATGAAGTTTTAGTTCAGTAATTTCAGTACAGAACATTTTTTTTTCTAATAACATTATTTTTCTTCCCAAAACATTAGAATTAAGTTTAAGTTCAATATTAAATAAGCATGTTGACAATTAGAGTTGTTAAATGTTGGAATTGTTTTTGAAAGAAGTTTAGAATTTGTTTCTTTAGAAATCTGTTCCACAGAACAGTACGGGTATAGTTTTTTTTTTTTTGGAGACAAAGTCTCGCTCTGTTGCCCAGGCTGGTGTGTAGTGGCCTGATCTCGGCTCACTGCAGCCTCCACCTCCTGGGTTCAAGTGATTCTTTTGCCTCAGCCTCCTGAGTAGCTGGGATCACAGACATGCCACCACCATGCCCAGCTAATTTTTGTATTTTTAGTAGAGACAGGGGTTTCTCCATGTTGGCCAAGCTGGTCTCAAACTCCTAATTTCAGGTGATCTGCCTGCCTCCGCCTTCCAAACTGTTGGGATTACAGGCGTGAGCCACTGCACCTGGCCTGGGTATAGTTTTGTAATTACAATGTGATAGGATTATTTGAAATTATGCTTTTCTGTTCTATGATGAAAAAATGTTAATTTAGATGTTTTGTTCTCATTTTGAGGAAACATATTGTTTCTCCTACTGTGTTTGTTTGTTTGTTTATTATTTTTATTGAGGCAGGACCTTGCTCTGTTACCCAGGCTGGAGTGCAGTGACATGAGCCTAGCTCACTGCAACCTCTGCCTTCTTGGTCCAAGCAATTCTCATGCCTCAGCCTCCTAAGTAGCTGAGATTACGGGCGTGTGCCACCATGCCTGGCAACTTATGGTTTTTTGTTTGTTTGTTTGTTTTTTGTTGTTGTTGTTGAGATGGGGCCATGTTGGCCAGGCTGGACTTTGAACTTCTGGCCTCAAGTGATCTGCCCGCCTTGGCCTGGCAAAGTGCTGGGGTTACAGTCGTGAGTCACCATGCCCGGCTCTTCATATAGTATTTAATTCAGTGACCTCATACTCTTTTCTTCCAAAGTGTGATTATAAAATATAGCCTTATACCAGTAAAAATAGGATTTAAATATAAATATTTGAATTCTGACAAAAAAGACAATATGAACTTTTAGGGTTTTTTTTTTTTTTTTTTTTAAATCTGGTTTTTTTTTTACAGTCAACTATATGGAATTAGGCAAAACTCTTTCCTCTAGGTCAGGGTTTCTAAATCTCTGAAATTTTGTACTGGGTAATTCTTTGTTGTCAGAGAGGGGGTGTCCTGTGCCTTATACGATGTTTAGCAGCATACTGGTCTCTAGCCATGAGATGCCAGTAGCACCCACTGAAAAATGTCTCCCCACGTTGTCAAATGTGCCCTGGGGGCAAAATTGTTCTTTGCATTCATTACCCCTTGAGAGCCACTTCTCTAGGTCTTGTTGACCCAGGGCTTCTGAGACTTAAATGTACACAGGAATTCCCTGAGGAAGCACATGCTGATCCAGTAGGTCAGAGGCAGGGCCTGAGACTCTGCATTTCTAACAAGCTCCCAGGTGACATGAATATTGTTGGTCAGTGTATCACAAGTAAGTAGCAAGGTTGTAGAAAGTTCCACATTCGTACCAATTGGGTGAGCTATCAAGGAAAGCTGATGAAAGTAATTATCGAAATAGTGAATTTACAATGAATTGTAGCCCAAACAATGTAAGGCTAATAGAAGCTAAGAAAACAAGCATTATCCTGGTGTCTTAACAAAGCAGCTGTCTTCACTTTGCCATATTTCCTTCCAGTCCTTAGTATTCATTTATAGTTGGACGCATCTAAGGGGGAAATTTGCAAGAGTGTTTTCAAGGTCATACAGGCAACTTCGTGTGTCATTAGGTGTTTTATTCTATAATACTGTAAATGTACTAGCTCATAATACATATTTATTGCCTGTGGAGAGATTTATAGCCCCAAATTAAGATAATGAACTCTGCAGTTACTTGATCTGATGATGCTCAGCCCCCCTATTTTTTTTTTTTAGTATGCAGGTTGTCTCCTCTCCTTGAGAACTATTGACTGCACCTAAATTAATACCACCTAAGGTCATTTGTTTTCTTACTGCAAGTGTTCTGAGAGTCAGGGTGAGATATTAAATTAAGTTTACGAA